ATGTGAGGGAATTCCTGGAAGCTTGGTATTCAGACAAGGTAGCCATCAACAGGCACATAGAGATAGATAACATCTACACACTATTCAAAAGAGACAATAAAAAGGAAACAAAAGACCAGAACATTTCCTCGCCAGCAAGAAACAAAAGACCAGAACATTTCCTCACCAGCAATCATCACCCAGATAAGCAGAGATTAACACCAAGACCAGACATACAATGAAGCAGTAACAATACCCTAATCAAGGAACTACCACTAAAAAAAAAAACCCACCAACACTGGCAGGGCAAGCTGCTGTTTATAAAAAAAAAGCAAAACACACCCACATTAATCCTTGAAAAAGTTACCTAGCTGGGTAATGAAACATTTGCAAGAAAACAACCAAGCTCAGAGAACCCCAAGGACTCCACAAGATCATTTTTCCTAGTTAGTGAGAAGAGAGCTATGTTCCCATTTTTTCCCATGGAAATTTGTTTTAATGCTTGGCCAAATTGTCCACAATTTAGGTGGTAGATAGCACAGGGTTTGGCATGGACTACCATACAATGTGATCTTGCAACCTCAGAGTGATAAATAAGGGAGCAGTAGCTGTTTCTGAGTTCCCACTGTTTCCCACAACTGGAATATTCAAAACATTTCAAGTTTTGTACTTTCATAATATACAACACTTGAGCCAACTCAAAACATTTTGATGGAAATTTTCTAATGGAGCTTGTTTCAGTTAAAGCTCAAAGAAAACACATGTTCTGTTTTGTGCATAACACTGTAAGGGATGTATCTCACAGTCTTACTGGGAGATGTAAGGATCATACTGTGTAAGATCTTTAAGTAAATTTTACATATTTTGTAAATTTTATTTTATAAATTTTACAAGTAAATTTTACTGTGTAAGATGTAACATCTTACTGTGGGAGCCAGTTTGGTCTAGTGGTTAAGGCACCAGGCTAGAAACCAGAGACTATGAATTCTAGTGCCACCTTAGGCATGAAAGCCAACTCTGTGACATTGGGCCAGTCATTCTCTTTTAGCCCAGGGCTGCTGTTTTGTGGAAAATAGGAGGAGGAAGGAGTATTAGGTATGTTCGCCACCTTGAGTTACTTATAAAAATAATAAAGTTGGGATTAAAAAATCTAAAAGAAATGTTCTTTATCAAGCAGTAACTTTTTAATTTGGAGATCTGAATGATATCTATAAACTTTCTGATACTCTCTTTCAGCAAGCGTTTCCTGAATCATAAGCTACATTATAGATACAAAGTATGATGTAAGGTTAATCGAAGTAGCATTCAGTACAGTATGGACATAATACATTTATGGTCGTAAATCTGATTATAAGAAAAGATAATGGAAAAAGGCATTGGAGATGGAGGAGCGTGATTTTGATCATTGAAAAATAAGACAGTTTGTTAAGAGAATGAACAGTGATGAGCTATGAACTCTCATTCTCCTTCCCATTTTTGCTTGAAAAGAGAAGAGGAGAAGTTTAATGTATAGTTTGTGGCAAATCATAGTTACCTTTCAAGCCAGTTAACTGTTTGATCTTGATTTCAGGAATCAACAATATTTTAACAAACAATAGATGAAAATATTCACTGTAGTTTGATCCAATTTCTCAAATTCTAAGGAAAGGTGGGAACAATTGAGACTGAAGCTCAATACTTCTTGTATTCTGATTTGTCATTCTATCTGGAGTAATTGTGTCTGCAAAAAAGCATATGTTGCCTATTTGCAAATTACAGCAATAGAGCTGTTATACAGGGTGATTTCAATGAAGTGATAACTAACTGAATTGGATTAAAAATAACATTTATTTCAAATAACAGAATTTTGGATTACTTCAGGTCCATTATGAATGATTAAGACAAGATAGATGTGAATAAATTATTTCAGTGTATCAGTTTGAAATAGGCATACAAATTGAGGACCACTTCTAATATGGCACATACTTTGTACATAAGTATAAAATCCCAAGATGTCCATAATATACACGTTTAATATAATACAACATAAATTGCATGATTTCCTTTCTGAATCTATATGTAGATTTACAGGAAAGGGATTGCACTGCCTTCATGTCCACAATGTCTATTCACCCACCCACCCCCAAGCATTTTTAAGTAAAATAACATTTTATTCATCTTACCCAGTACATGAAACATAAGAAATAATTACTCATGGGATCAGGCTGTTCTCACTAACCTAAATATGTTTGCATCAGCCCTATAAGCTGTACTTATAGCACAAAAGCCAAGATAGTAAAAAGCCATAAAATAGTTATGACACTTTCTCATGGGAATCTCACTTGTCCACTTGAAGCTGGAATGCATTTGTTGTCCTAGATAGATAAGAATTTTAATGAGACAAATTATTTTACACATTCTTGCATTCACTCTGAATTATTAGTATTTTTTTAAACATTGCAGAAAAAATGTATTTGGTTATATGTATGAGGCACAGAATTTATTAATCTCAGTCATTTGACTGATGAAGCCAACACTATAGGGTTAGTGCCCCTGTGGTAGGTAACCTATTACCATGGTACAAGCTAGGAACTATGTCAAGTAGGTATCACATTCTTTATTATTGGATAATAACGAATGCATCACTTTGGCACACTGGGCTAATGAAAAATGTTGCTAAAAGCATCAGTATTCACTTGGTAAGAAAATCTGTCATAAGAACAATACCAGGAGCAGGGATTTCACTGATTAGCACTTGCGTCTTGTCTGTCTTTTTCAGCCCTTCTAAATTCATCAGCCTGTTCAAGATAAATGGATTCACCAGTTGCACCATTAGATTGCAAAGTGTTTCAGAGTGCTGTCACAAATTTCTAATAAGTTTTTAGGAATATTGCGGTTATATATTTGTAAAGTGTCCGCTCCATTGATCCAAAACAATGGATGGACAATTGTGGTTAGACTAATGATGAATCCTTCTGATCACTGGATGATGAAGTTGATAGGTCTTCTCAAAGAAAAGGGAGAAAATTCCCTAACAAGGAAGGAAGGGAAGTTTGGCCTATGCTTTAAACATTGTGATAATATAAGTTTTGTAATTTTTATAGCTAATACAGTGGGGCAAAAAAGTATTTAGTCAGCCACCAATTGTGCAAGTTCTCCCACT